AAGACACCAATTTTTTTATAAAACAACTTGTACTCACCTTGATAGGTTATGTTAATCCTACTTCCTAAAATCCAAAATCTAGCATCCATTGAAGAAGGTTTGAGATCCATAAGTAGAAACCTCTAAGAAACTCCTCAAAACAACCTTCTAAACCCAACATAGCACCAAAACCCACCATAAATCAGATCCACAATAAAACTCAAACTAGATCTCAAAATACCAAAATTCTTACCTCTTCCAGATCATTGAAATCAACCATCAAGAAATCTGCAACCTCCATGATAACCTTCCATTTGCTCTAAAAAGCCTCCAAAAATCGGACCTTAAGGTTCCAAAATCGTCCAAATCAGAGGAGTGAGAAGGTGGAGAAATGAGGAGAAAACCCTTAAAAATCGGCTTAAAAGTCGTCCAGATGACTTCTGACGACTTATCTTGTGAACGAAGTCGCGTGGTAAGTCCCCCTTGTCCAAACAAGGGCTACACGACTATTGGCACGACTAAACTCGCATGTAAACCTGTCCCGGGTATACAACTCGTGCATAAATCTGTTCATGTATACAACTCGCAAGTAAACATGCCCGGGTATACAACTGGCACGTAAACCCACATGATTATACATGCTAAACCCATATGGTTTTACTTGGTAAAGCCGTACAATTCTACCAACCACGCATTATTCACAGTTATATAATCCAGGGTGTTACAAAAATAATTTGAATGATTTTAGAAAATTATTCAACATCTTGAGAATTTTTTAGTTCAACTTGGTCAATTTAATTACCATTTTATACAAATGCCCACTTATTTATACATAATCGAACTATATATATTATAATAACTAGAAGAGTACTCGCGCAATACAGCGAGACATAACTCGATTTTAATGTTCTATTTTATTATTTGTCTCAGTCGATGTTATAAATTATAATACGATTTTATGTGTTTTTAAGAAAACAATAATGATTTTATTTTTGAATATTTGAAAAAAATATATCAATGTTAATATCAAATCAACTATTTTTTATGTAATTTCTTTAATTTATTTTTTATTATAATTTAATTTAAGTTTAATAACGAAATAATTTATTTTTGTTTAATAATATAACATTTTATAAAGATAATAATTAAGTATTCTGTTAGAACTTAATGATCATTCTAATTATATTTTAGATTTTTCGTATTTAAAATGAGATATTTATCTTGTATTTGATTATGTTTATCTGCAGTTATTTACACGAATTCAGATATGAAATTTTAATAAGTTGTACTTACGGACAATCTACTTGTAATTTTGAGTTTTAAATAATATGCATTAATAAACAGTACTTTACGCATAAAAAATGATTTTTTTAAGAATTTTTGTCAAATGTTTTATAATATAGTATAGATTAATAAATTATAATATAACTTAAACTTAGTTTTTATCTTTTTAGCAACTTTTCATGACATTTTCCTAAAATAGTCAAGATGTTATCTCTCAAGTTCGGATTTTGTTTTGAAAATGAGATCTGATCACTAACTCCGTTAAAAATGGCCATTAAAGTCAGGGGTAAACTTGTCCAATCATGTTTTGCCTCTCTTTTTGTAATTCCTATTTGTTTTTTCTTGTTTTTATAAATATTATCAAAACTTTAGGGACCAACTCTGTAAAATTTGTAAGGCCACCTTCATCCCTATTTTTCCGGCAATACACTCGTTGATAACTCCATTTTTTCCGGTGATACACACCTTCATTTAAACCTAATCGTTGACCACTCCAATATATTTCTTCTCTCATCCACATCGGTTTTTTCTAATCATGACTCCCCATTTCTCTCTCTGACACCAGAAGTGAAGCCATCATCGACTACCATCTCCACCAAAACATAAGCAAAACCAGGGTGAGACACAAGGAGTAAATGGTCGGCACCATCCCCCCTAAACTATCGAACCACCCTCTCCCACTCAAATCATAATGAGACACAGGGACCAAATCGCCGGCACCTCTCCCTTCCCCTCCTAAACCGTAAGGGTGCTCATGGGTTAGGTTGTTCGGGTTGAAGACATTTGAACAACCCAACCCAATGCTTGTTTTGAAAATTCTTAACTAAACCCAACCCAAATCAAAGTGCAATCCAACCCAACTCAAACCGTACGGGTTGATACTTTGGTACATTAAAATATTCTTCTAACTGTGAATATATTATTTCTCTACTCATAGTTTCTTTTTCATCATCAACCATTTGATACAACTTATTCTTACTTCTTACGTATATCATATCCAATTAATTTTCTCAATTTTTACATATATATGTTAAGAGTTACTGAACATATATACGAATGAGTTATATAGAGATGGAGAATAGATTGAAAATATTTATATATATGAACAGCGTACGTGATAGTGTAATTGTCTAATGTATATATTAATATAAATTCAACAATGATATTAAATCCAAGAAATAAAATGATATCGGGTTCATCTACTTGGGTTGAGTTCAAATAATAGTAACACAATATCAACCAAATACCTACAATTTGAAAATTTTACAACTTGATTTGACATGGTTGCTTTGGGTTGAATTATTTCGCGTTGGATTGGGTTGGGTTGATTAAGTTGATCGGATTTTTAATCACCCCTAATAGGCACCACCCTCTCCCACTCAAATCATACCCTCTTCCTCTTTTACTCCTCTCACACTTCCTCTCCACCACCATTTTTTCTGAATCACGACCATGTTAAGGATATTTTTTTTGAATCATCACCGTATCGAAAGGTTTTGACCAATTTGCAGTTTTGAAGGATCACTTGTTTTTGGGACGATGATGGTTTGATCAGTCTGCTTCCGTTCGGTTTTGGGGAGAGGAGGAAAAATGGGTCGGTCCTTGTTTTTGGCCGGAGATGGGGATCTCGTCCCTATGAACTTTACGAAAACGATGGTCCCTATGGGATCGTCCCTTTAAAAGAAGGTCTAATGAGGAGGGGGCAGGGAAGAGTCCCGATGGTTACGCAGAAGGTAAATTTTCTACGTAAACTTTTTCTAATTATGTTTTATTTATTTCTAAAAAATCTAAAAAATAAGAAAAAATTAGTTTAGACAAAAGTTAAACTTTCTGCGTAATTTATTTATTTATTTTTGGAAAAAAAAAATTAAAAATAGTTTACACAGAAAGTTTATGCAGAAGATAAACGTGCTGCCTAAACTATTTTTTTAATTTTTTTTTCTAGGGAATTAAAAAAAATAGTTTACATAGAAAATCAAGTTTCTGCGTAAACTATTTTTTTTCTTCTGGAAAACTAAAAAAATAAATATTAGACTTTATACAGAAAGTCAAGTTTTTGTGTAAACTTTCTCTGTAAAGCGTGTCTAGTTGTAATCTGATGTGTCTTTTTTTTTTGCCAATCAAACATAATTTACACAGAAAGTTTAAGCAGAAACTTGACTTTTTACGTAAAGTCTAAAAAAATGATTTTTTTTAATTGGACATTTTGCGGAAACAAAGCTTCACCGTAAAGTCTTTAAGTAAAGTATGGTTATTTTAGGAAAAAAAAAACCCTTAAAAATGACTAAAAAGGTGAAATCTATATTATAAAATGGCTATTTCATTAAATTTTCCTATTGTCATTTATCATCTATCTTCTTCATTCAAATCAAATCAAATCAAACCACTTTTCCTTATCGTGGTTTGCAAAAGTATCAAACCAAATTTGTCGCTATATTAAAAAGCACATTTGTTAAAAGTCATTAGATTAAATGGTTTTACACAGGTTAACAGTAGCAAAACATACTCGGTTTATAAAAGATGTTAGACATTGTTTCATTTCAAATATTCAGTATTTAGTTGATTTTTGCGCTACTTATGTTAATAGTCATTCAAATCCGTATTTGATTTGATAGAGGTCTTTTGGGATATGTCCAATTTGGAACTTTCGGTGTAAATGTTTTTCAACCGATGCTTCTTAAACACATGAGATTTCCATGTATTCCATTTTCAGTTATATAATTGTTTTGGACCTTATAATGAGCACGCTTCATGAAATTATGTGTTGGTAGGAAAGATCTCAAGTAAACCCATGAAAGGGAGAAAAATATGTATGGGGAAGTGAGCTAGGCAGGTAGCCTTGCATCCAAAGTTGCGACATAACTCACTGTTGAGTTGTGGTTCTTGGCACGCATGTGGCTTTGGGCGTTGCTAAAGACATAACCAAAGTCGTGGGAACGTTTGCAGGTCACTAAGGGCCTGTTTACTTGTGGCTTAATGAGCTTACCGGATAAATGGGCTTATTCGCACAGCCATTTTAGGGTGTTTACTTCAGGCTTATTCGCCCAGACATGGGCTTAATCGCGCAGCCGGATACCATGCCTTGTCCACATTAAGCCAAAAAAAAAGACCTCCCTACCCTCCAATAAAACCYACGCCTCTCTTTTCTCCTCCCATAGTCGCTCTTCTCCTCCAATCTTCTCCTCAAGAACCCTAATCGGCCGAAATACTTTCTCCTCAATTCAAGGCTCTCTTCTCCAAAGGTAACTCTTCTCCTTATGTATAGATTATGCTTGATTATACTCGATTTTGCTCGATATTGCTTCTGATTTGCTGCTCGATTGCTTTTGATTTGCTGCTCGTTTTTTCTTCTGATTTGCTGCTCGATTTTGCTAGTATATTCTCGATATTTTTGGGTTTGTTTGATGCATC